ACAACAAGGGGGAGCGCGCTTGAGGAAAGGGGGTGTCCGAGCGGTCGTCTGTACAACATCGTACGGTAGCAACTGAGGCGTGGCTGTGGCAGGCCACCGTGAAACCTTCAACTGGGTGCTGTTTACCTTTTTACCAAGGTTTCCGAAAGTCCACAACAAGGCTTCCCAAGGCGGTCAGTTGCTTGCTGGTGCCAGTTCCTTTGGCTCACGTGACATCAAACCTCTGCGGCGGGTTGGTGCCATTTCCTTTGCCTTTCTAGGACGTGCTTGCTGGGCTTCAAACTTTCATTTTTCTCCGGTTCAGAAAGTGACGTTAGAGAGTGCGGTCTGTGGCTGACACGTGTTTTCCTTTTTCGCAGGGTTTCCGAAAGTCGACAAATGACGTTAGAGATTCAGCTGGGTGCTGTTTCCCTGTTTCGCAGGGTTTCCGAAAGTCCACAACAAAGCTTCCAAACTACTTTTCTTTGTCTGTGGCTGACACCTTCAGCTGGGTGCTGTTTCCCTCTTCTGCAAGGTTTCCGAAAGTCCACAACAAGGCTTCCCAATTACTTTTCTCTCCGGTTCAGAAAGTGACGTTAGAGACTGCGGTCTCCCCCGTTTTTAAGGTACCTAAAATCGGAAAAAACGCCGTTTTGACACATTTTTCGGACGGTTTTTAATTTTTCGAAATTAACAAAATGCTGTAAATTACAACATTTTTGCGTTTTAACGTCTTTTGCGGGAGCAATGCAAAAACGCAGAAAATGCTGTAAATACCACTACTTTTTCAAACCAGGGATGCACAAAACACTGCAAATACCAGTGTTTTTGAAAGCAAAACAAAAAAAAAAACATTTAAATTATATCATTTTTAATGCTGGTATTTACATGGTTTTTGCAATTTCAAGAAAATGTGGAAGGCACGAAACACTGTAAATAGCAGTGTTTTTGCCACTTTTGGACGCCGAAACGCTGATATTTACGCAGTTGTTTACCCGTGACGGCGCCAGACCCTTGTAAATTACAGCATGCTTGCGCTTTTTGAACCGATTTGTTAATTGTCTTGATGAACGCCAAAGAAACGCTGGTATTTACGCGTTTTTCCCGAGATTAGTAAAAAAGCAGCCGTTGTAACATCTGCAGATCTACATCTTCAAACCCTCACATCTGCTGATCTACATCTTCACACCTTCACATCTGCTGATCTACATCTTCACACCTTCACATCTGCTGATCTACATCTTCACACCTTCACATCTGATCTACATCTTCAACCTTCACATCTGCAGATCTACTTCCTCGCACCTTCACATCTGCAGATCTACTTCCTCGCACCTTCACATCTGCAGATCTTCTCACTTCTCTCTCTCCTCCTTTCACACCCTCACATCTGCTGATCTACATCTTCACACCTTCACATCTGATCTACATCTTCAACCTTCACATCTGCAGATCTACATCTTCCCACCCTCACATCTGCAGATCTACATCTTCACACCCTCACATCTGCTGATCTACATCTTCACACCTTCACATCTGATCTACATCTTCAACCTTCACATCTGCAGATCTAAATCTTAGATCTTCACACCCTCACATCTGCAGATCTACATCTTCACACCCTCACATCTGCTGATCTACTTCCTCGCACCTTCACATCTGCAGATCTCCTCTCTCTCCTTCTTTCTTTCTCTCGCTCTTCTTTCTATCTCTGTCTTAAGGCGGGGGCGGTGCCGCCGGAGCGCCACGAAACGTGACAGGCGCAACATTTCGTGCACATCGGACGTCCAAAACCTAGGTAAAATTGCGATTTTGAAGTGTCCGCCGCAACCGTTTCGCACGAAATGGATGTTGAACGTCAAAAACTGAGGTAAAATTGCGATTTTGAATGGCCCGCCGCAACCCTTTTGCACGAAATGGACGTTGGACGTCAAAAACTGAGGTAAAATTGCGATTTTAGTTAGTCCGCCGCAACGGACGTTGAACGGCAAAAACTAAAATAAAATTGCGATTTTGAGATGTCAGTCGCAACCCTTACGCGCGAAATGGACGTTGGACGTCAAAAACTGAGGTAGAATTGCGATTTTGAGGTGTCAGTCGCAACTCTTTAGCGCGAAATGGACGCTGGACGTCAAAAACTGAGGTAAAATTGCGATTTCAGGGGTCCGGTCTCTGTGTGTGAAAGTGTTTGTGTGTAAAAGCTTCTGTGTGTGTGAAAGCTTCTGTGTAAAAAAAGCGTCTGTGTGTAAAAGTGTCTGTATGCAAAAAGCTTCTGTGTGTAAAAGCTTCTGTGTGTGTGTGAAAGTTTCTGTGTGCAAAAACATCTGTGTGTGAAAGTGTGTGTGCAAAAGCATCTGTGTGTAGAAGCGTCTGTGTGTAAAAGCGTCTGTGTGTAAAAGCCTCTGTGTGTGAAAGTGTTTGTGTGTAAAAGCCTCTGTGTGTGAAAGCGTCTGTGTGTAAAAGTGTCTGTGTGTAAAGGCTTGTGTAGAAGCGTCTGTGTATAAAAGCGTCTGTGTGTAAGAGCCTCTGTGTGTGAAAGTGTTTGTGTGTAAAAGCTTCTGTGTAAAAGCGTCTGTGTGTAAAAGTGTCTGTGTGTAAAAGCTTCTGTGTGTAAAAGCGTCTGTGTGTAAAGGAGTCTGTGTGTAAAAGCTTCTGTGTGTAAAAGCTTCTGTGTAAAAGCGTTTGTGTGTAAAAGCGTCTGTGTGTAAAAGTCTCTGTGTGTGAAAGCGTCTGTGTGTAAAAGCGTGTGTGTATGAAAGTGTGTGTAAAAGCATCTGCGTGTAAAAGCGTCTGTGTGTAAAAGCCTCTGTGTGTGAAAGTATGTGTGTGTGTAAAAGCGTCTGTGGGTAAAAGTGTCTGTGTGTAAAAGTCTCTGTGTGTAAAAGCGTCTGTGTGTAAAAGCCTCTGTGTAAAAGCTTCTGTGTGTAAAAGCCTCTGTGTGTGAAAGTGTGTGTGTGTGTGTCAAAGCATCTGCGTGTAAAAGCACCTGTGTGTAAAAGTGTCTCTGTGTAAAAGCCTCTGTGTGTAAAAGGGTCTGTGTGTAAAAGAGTCTGTGTGTAAAAGCGTCTGTGTGTAAAAGCAGCTGTGTGTAAAAGCTTCTGTGTGTAAAAGCGTCTGTGTGTAAAGGAGTCTGTGTGTAAAAGCTTCTGTGTGTAAAAGCCTCTGTGTTTGAAAGTGTTTGTGTGTAAAAGCTTCTGTGTGTAGAAGCGTCTGTGTGTAAAAGCGTCTGTGTGTAAAAGCGTCTGCGTGTAAAAGCTTCTGTGTAAAAGCGTCTGTGTGTAAAGGAGTCTGTGTATAAAAGCCTCTGTGTCTGAAACTGTGTTTGTGTGTAAAAGAAAAGCGTGTGTGTGTGTAAAAGCTTCTGTGGGTAAAAGTGTCTGTGTGTCAAAGTGTCTGTGTGTAAAAGCGTCTGTGTGTAAAAGCGGTTGTGTGTGAAAGTGCGCGTGTGTGTGTGTGCGTGCGTAAAAGCATCTGCGTGTAAAAGCGTCTGTGTGTAAAAGCCTATGTGTGTGAAAGTGTGTGTGTGTAAAAGAAAAGCGTGTGTGTGTGTGCGTGTGTGTGCTTAAAAGCATCTGCGGGCAAAAGTGTCTGTGTAAAAGCGTTTATGTGTAAAAGCTTCTGTGTAAAAGTCTCTGTGTGTGAAAGTGTTTGTGTGTAAAAGCTTCTATGTGTAAAAGCGTCTGTGTGTAAAGGAGTCTGTGTGTAAAAGCTTCTGTGTGTAAAAGCCTGTGTGTGTGTAAAAGCTTCTGTGTGTAAAAGTGTCTGTGTGTAAAAGTGTCTGTGTGTGAAAGGGTCTGCGTGTAAAAGCGTCTGTGTGTAAAAGTCTCCGTGTGTGAAAGTGCTGGTGGGTAAAAGCTTCTGTGTGTAAAAGCGTCTGTGCGTAAAAGTGTCTGTGTGTAAAAGCATCTGCGTGTAAAAGTGTCTGTATGTAAAAGCGTTTGTGTGTAAAAGTATCTGCGTGTAAAAGTGTCTGTGTGTAAAGGCGTCTGTGTGTAAAAGCGTCTGTGTAAAAGCTTCTGTGTAAAAGCGTCTGTGTGTAAACGCTTCTGTGTGTAAAAGCGTCTGTGCGTAAACGCTTCTATGTGTAAAAGCGTCTGTGTGTAAATGTGTCTGTGTGTAAAAGTGTCTGTGTGTAAAAGTGTCTGTGTGTAAAAGTGTCTGTGTGTGAAAGTGTGTGTGTGTGTCAAAGCATCTGCGTGTAAAAGCACCTGTGTGTAAAAGCCTCTGTGTTGTAAAAGTGTTTGTGTCTGTGTGTAGAAGCGTCTGTGTGTAAAAGCGTCTGTGTGTAAAAGCGTCTGTGTGTAAAAGCCTCTGTGTGTAAAAGCATCTGTGTGTAAATGCGTCTGTGTGTAAAAGTTTCTGTGTGTAAAAGAGATTAAAAGAGTCTGTATGTAAAAGTGTTTGCGTGTAAAAGTGTCTGCGTGTAAAAGTGTCTGTGTGTAAAGGCGTCTGTGTGTAAAAGCCTATGTGTGTAAAAGTGTCTAGTGTCTGTGTGTAAAACCTTCCGTGTGTAAAAGCTTCTGTGTGTAAAAGCGTCTGTGTGTAAACGCTTCTGTGTGTAAAAGCGTCTGTGTGTAAATGCGTCTGTGTGTAAAAGTGTCTGTGCGTACAAGTGTCTGTGTGTAAAAGCTTCTGTGTGTAAAAGCGTCTGTGTGTAAACGCTTCTGTGTGTAAAAGCGTCTGTGTGTAAATGCGTCTGTGTGTAAAAGTGTCTGTGCGTACAAGTGTCTGTGTGTAAAAGCGTCTGTGTGTAAAAGCGGTTGTGTGTGAAAGTGTGTGTGTGCGTAAAAGCATCTGCGTGTAAAAGCCTATGCGTGTAAAAGTGTCTAGTGTCTGTGTGTAAAACCTTCTGTGTGTAAAAGCGTCTGTGTGTAAAAGCGTCTGTGTGTAAAAGTCTCTGTATGCAAAAGCTCCTGTGGGTAACAGCTTCTGTGCAAAAGCGTCTGTGTGTAAAAGGTTCTGTGTGTGAAAAGCAATACGAAGGATATGATGCAAACTAATGTCTTGTACTTGTAATATATTGTCTTGATACTTCTTGTCTCGTCTGCCTATAATACATCTTTAATATATTGTCTTTTAATATAGTGTCTCAATGCTAACAACAGAAGACTTTGCTCCTCTACGCTCTCGGGCCATCCGTCGTCTAGTTCAAAAAATCGAAGATCGTGACGTGAACAAAACCCTGTAAATAACAGCGTTTTAGCCACTTTCGGAGACTAAAACTGTGGTATTTACGTGGGTTCTTGCCATCTGACAGCGCAAAATGCTGTAAATTATAGCCCTGTGCGCGCTGTTTATGTTCAATTTTTAAACGCGCGATGCTTTCACATGTTCTTTGCATTCTTCCCCAAGAAACAACGTTGCAGATTGAAACTGGACGGCAGCGTGACCCGAAAGAAAGCTGGAGGGAGGAGACGCACAGAAGCTTTTACACACACAGGGGGGCTTTTACACGAGAAGTCTTTACACAAAGGAGCTTTTTACGCACAGAAGGTTTTACACAGAGAAGTCTTTACACAGAGGAGCTTTTACACACACAAGCGTTTACACACAGCAAGCTTTTACACAGACAGGGGCTTTTACACAGAGAAGCCTTTACACAGAGGAGCTTTTTACACACAGAAGGTTTTACACAGAGAAGTCTTTACTCTAAGGAGCTTTTGCACACAAACGTCTTGGAGCTTTTCCACACAGAAGCTGTTACACAGAGAAGTCTTTACACAGGGAGCTTTAACACACAGACGCGTTTGCACACAGAAACTTTTACACAGAAAAGCCTTTACACAGAGAGTGTTTACACACGGAAGCTTTTATACACAGAGAAATCTTTACACAGACGCGCTTTCATAGAGAGAAGCTTTCACACACAGAAGGAAGCTTTTACACAAAGAAGTCTTTACACAGAGTGGTTTTTACACACAGAAACTTTTACACACAAAAGCTTTTACACAGAGAAGTCTTTGCACAGAGGCGCCTTTACACGAAGTAACAAGTGAAATTGGCAGCAGTTCTTTAGGAAAACCCCTTCGCAGGAGCTTTCGGGAACTCACTTGCTCCCCAAAAAACCGCCTATATCGAACAAATATGTTCCAAACAACCTAATGAATATATTTCTGAAGCAGGTCCTCATTCAATAGCTTTCAAGCCCACACTGCGATGAAATGGAGGGTCGAATAATCCGGCGGAGCCGACCATGAGCGTCAGCTCAGAAATATACATACACAATATGCTATGGTGCATCTCAAACCCAAGAGAAATCTAGCTCACCTTCCTTGATTCACAGGTCGTCTCAGTTGGCAATGGTGATCTTAGTTGTTTATGATACACTTCATATGTACATGGACACTTCATCTCAGCAAGGCCCGGGCCCACGAGAACCAGCTTGGAGCCCGATGCATGCTCAAACTGGACAGAGTTTGAAGCAAAGAAATCATGATTTGGAACATTCTGGAACAACAGGGATGGGTATGGAATGATTTCAACACGTGTTCACGCAGTATTTCAGTGCCATCCCGCTTAACACCTCAACGTAGCTCTCGTAAGCGGACTGGTTGTGCTTCTCGACAAAATCCTGGCAAAGCTCAGTCGTGCTGGTATGACATCGTCTCTCTGGGCATCTCCAATTATGATCAATATGCAGGGAGTGCAAAGAGGTAGCTCCTGACAGGGAAGTGTTGTCACGTTGAACATATGCGCGATGCAAGCGATACAGGCACATCTCCTCAACTGTGGCAGTTGCTGAAAATAGCCCGCCTGTAAAATGGCCAAAGAACGTCAAAGACTGGACGTTGGACCATTGGATACATATTTGCACGCATACATATACTGTATCTTATTTATATATATATATAATATCCCTACCCTTTGAAGGGGGGGGACGTACCCAAATTGCAAGACACAATTTGGACGTTTTTGAGGGAGGGGGGCTTGGTAAATGTCGGCAAGCATTTATTTTTCTACCTACGTTATATTTGCAAAATTTCATGTGAGTATGTCCCCTCATTCTTTACTGGATTTCATTTATTTTCTCAAAAAACGCAGGGGGGGGGGGCGTTCAAAATGTAAGATTGCATTTTTGAAAAATGCAAGAAAATGAAAAAATGTAAAATTATAGTGTGAAGGTTTGCAAATAGCTGCAGAATTGCAGAAAATCAAAAATGCAAATTAAAAATTTGTAGGACCCCAACTGCGTTGTTTTTTCCAATACATTCTACACTTTTGTTGCACCTTTTCATCATTTCCACATGTAACATAGAGGTATAGAAGGTATATTTGTCCTTGGAAATGACTGGAAAATCCTTGAACTTCAAACAACTGTAAAATGAGGTGTTGAAGGTCTTCAAATTTACCTCCTGCCTATGATAAAGCAATTGAGCACAGGTGTAGAAATCATGTAAACATCTTATACCTGAGGTCCACATTTCCTTGCAGAAACAGCTCAAAGTAGATGATAAAATCCAGATAAACTCACGTAACCATCCTACACCAAAAGTCCATATTTCCTTGCAGAAACAGCTCAAAGTAGATGATAAAATCAAGATAAACCCATGTAACCATCCTACACCCAAGGCCATATTTACTTGCAGAAACTGATGAAAATAGATGGTAAAGCCAAAGATATTATCATGTAACAGTCCTGCACTGTACTAAAACAACTAGGACTCCAGGACCCAAGCTTTAAAGCGTTGAAGCTCGGCAACCAAGATGAAGTACCATCTCTGCACCTAAATGATCTCAACTGGACCTCAAACGGACTTCAAACGGACCTCAAATGAACCTTACAGGCTACCCATGGTATAGATGTCCTAGTAACATTTTTACCTCCCCGCTATCCGTAGAGTACGGGGCGGGAACGGGGGGGGGGTACGGGGTGACATATCTATTGCGGACTTTCGACCCCCCCTCCAAATGTAAATCTTCCGGGGCTCGGTTTTTGACGTGGGGGGGTCTAACATACATATAGCCTTCCCCATCGGGAAAAAATACGAAAGGGTCAAAATTGTTGCTTGCATTTTTTGAACGTCCCCCATGCTTACACCCCACGAAAAGGGTGGTGATTATATATGTGTATATATATATATACAGTATATAATACTATATATATAATGCACATACATGAATATATGATGACAGTTGATGACAGTTGATGACAGTTGATGACACGTAACATGGACAACACGGGTTCTGAGTCTCCGGGCCTGAGAAGCTATCCTGTGGCTCTCATAGACCTCTCTGGGTCCTCCATACCTCAGCATTCCGCACCACTCAGCAAGTCTTTCTGATAATTTCTGGTAGCCAAGAGGCTACTTCAGCTACTTCCAAAGCCCGGAATCGTAGAATCATCCAGGTGTCAGGCTTGTCGACCAGGGAAATGACGTCATATACTGGACCTGGAGTGTTGTGACAATGCCTTGAGACAGATACTTCGATACTTCTGCATGTTTTTTCTTCGGAATGATCCATTAACGCTTTATACAAATTGCCAAATGTGGGTCTTGGCCACAATGAGTGAAGATAACCCAAGATACGATTGTTTTAAAGGGATTCTGGGCATGGCATGTTGAGAAGTTGCACATTGCCTTTGAACGCTGGGATGCAAACCCGAAGGGATCACAACTGCCTTGCAAGGGGCAAAGCACATGTAGTCTGTCTGCCTACAAGATCTACAAGACTTCGAAAACATCCGAAATCGTCAACTCCCAAGAAAATCTGGATCGACTTGTCAACTTGTTGGCACAGTGGCCTGGGCGATTTCTTGTTGTCTTTTCACCTGGCTTTGCAGTGACTTCACAATGCACACAACTGAGGGGTTGAGAGTCCGTCTACCAAAAGAGCCAGGTTTGCCCGTGCCAGTTCAATTTCAACCTACAGCAATCCAGGTTTGCGAGGTGACCCTGTTATGTGCCAGTGCCAAATGTGCCAACACGGCGGATACCAACGTGCCTCTGGATTGTTGTCCTCAGCATCCCTCACTGCTGCAAGGGCAATACCTGATGACAGTTTGTTGGCTTCTGAGACGCAAAGAGACTGTCTACTGGCAGAACTTCAACAGGACTTGCGATCCTTCATACTTGGTCATACTCGGTGAAGCAGCACCGTCCATCCCCAGTGTCATTCGGATGTCCGAGTGATCTCGGTTTCTCGGCTTCGGACTGTCCGAGATATCGTCGTATTCCGTCAGCTCGCGAGCTAACCTCTCATCATCCGCGTCTTCAGCCTCATGGCAAACTCATCATGCTCCTAACCAGAAATATTCTGAAAATATTTGAGACGGCAGTATCCAATATAATCAATATACGTACTTCAAAGATAACTCGAGATCTTTAGGCTTTCATCCCCTCCCATGGCCTCTGTGACCACCGACTCGAGGTCAAACTCCTTGGGGTTCTTCGCGGCCTTGGCCTCGAACCGAGAAGCGGCACACAACTCATTTGAAGAGCTGAGGAGACTTCGGAAACCTCGTTATTTCATGTCAGTTCGTGGTTTAAACGAAGAAAAATGAGAAAAAAGGGTTTCCTCTCAAGAGTCCTGTGAAAATCAACCCGTTGATGAAAAAGAGACTTATGATTTGGGACCAAAAGGTTATTTTGTGTCGATGTACCAGCACTGCCAGTGTCGCGCCAGCGTCGCCTGTGCTCGTGCCACGATGGCGTTTTGGGAGTTCACGACGGAGTTCTCGTCCTGGCTTCGAGCTAGGTAACTTCCAATCTGGCTAGGTAACTTCAACTGCAACCAAAATGACTGGGATTGATCGCGAATCAAAATGTTCGAGGTTCAGCCGGTTCAGCCTGTATGGCTGTAAAGGGACAGGGACAATCAAAGACAAAATTGGTGAGAACGTCGATTTAAAATTCCGACAGATATTGTACCCATGTACGGATCACAAAGAAACCTAGCTGGGAGCCACAACATCCCCCCGGTCCAAGGGAGGCTCAGGAGACTCAGGAGATTCTGCATGTCTGACGGTGTGTGATCTGATTGACCTGGCAGTCTGCAAGTGCTGCACTTTGCATGTCCAAAAATGAGGTCCAAAGCCAAGTATGGAACACACTGAATGGTGATGCAGGGTATGAACATACAAAAGTATCCATAAGTATCCATAAGTACTAGAGTATATACTAGAGTGATTTTGGTGTGAAAATAAGCGTGGGACCTGGCTTCTCTCCGATGCCAAATGGTGATCACTGGGACCCGTACGGTCGGAGTGGCGCAGACTGACTGGCAAAGCCTGGCGCATCCGTCTCGGTATGGGTCAGAATTGATCAATGGCTGAACAATGGAGAACACATGGGGTCCCACATGATAGAACACATGATAATCAAAATAATCAAATTGAACACAGACAAAATTTGAGGTCTGAGCATCGATCATGACCCATTCCCATATGAAACGTTCCGCATCGAACCCACGGCACTCCATGATGTTTGATCCGTTTCTGACTTGGCTCCGTAGTGCTCCGTCATCGTCATCTCTTCACAGCTCACGCCTGGCAAACTTCTTCGAACACCAACCTGTCAGGGCCAAAAAAACAGCACCAGTTTGCCGGTTTCTGCCAGTTTGGCGGTTTTGTCCAAGGCTTTCACCAGCGCCACGAACACGATAGTGGTGAGTGTCCCAAGCCTGGCTCGCGGGATCGCACCATGGCTGCTTGGTCGTTCAACCTATCCCAAAACATTAGTTAATCGGGATAACAACCATCCTCAATATGAAGAAAGATGAAACATGTTTGAAACCATCAAATTGGCTGGTGGTCAACAGTGGTTAACTTGGTATGAAACAAAAATAACAAGCCAATCTGTTGCCAAATCGGTTCCACTTCTGAGCAATCCACGAGCTGCGCTTGCCACCAGCCATGGTGCTGTGGCTCAAGCTACGTTTACGTCTTGCTGTGATTTCAAACTTGGGGGTAGCGGGGTAACATGAGGGTTCGGATCCAAACTGGACTCTCCAAAATTTGCTATGTTTTGAAAGCAAAATAACTACTCTACAACCATAATTTGAGGACTTCAGAGCTGTCAGGTACACTTTCACACTTAGAATGTAGCACCTTTCAAGCTCGTTTCTGTCGGAAATCTGCTGCAAAGTAGTGCTGAAAGTTATTCATGCACGCAGCTAGATCGCCCTCCGCCTTCAAGATGTTGATATCGAAGGTCGAAGGTCTACAATCCATGCAGTACATACTATGTCATACATGATCAGACCTTGTCCTTTCATTCCAAATAGCTTGAGATGAGGTACGGCACCGAGTTCGACGTATGTTCCTTTCCCGTCCAGACTTTGAATCTGCCAATGCAGCGCTGCAGCATCTCACATGGCCCATGGCGGGGTCACCACTCAAGGAAGCGCGAAAACCACACCGTTGTGCGGATCCTGCCAGGACGCATTGCTCCACGACTCCACGATAGAACACCCGCCACAAGCACAGACCAAACATCTGAGTGCCCAAACGTCGATTTGATGTAGAAAACGCCGATGTTTATCTGCACGGATCGAGACTAATTACATAATTGTGCTCCAGTCTGATGACCCGCACAGCCATGAACATTGTGTGGAGCTATTTGCCATGCGGGCTTGCAATTCTCATCAAAAATGAACACATCAATGGCCGGATATCAGCATCTGAACAAACACTGACAGAAATGGTAGGTTGCAAATCTGTCTTTCTTGGTCACCCACCGCACATGCTGCGTACTTGATACTGAGACTACCACGCAGTCTCCATCACCATGCGACGCAAAAATCGCTTCTTGCTTCTTGACGCTTGCCTGAGATAGTCACAGGATGTCACAGGATAGTCTTCAAAGTATGGTGTTATTCCCTGAGCACCTCTGAGTATCTCTGAAGTATCTCTGAGCTGAGCACATCCCACACTGAAAGATAGGTGCGTTCATTATATTCCCATCGTCCCTTGGTTGTGCATCACCCATCTCCCTTGTGAGTCCTCATGGCAGTGTGCCTGGGAGAGTACCATTGGGAGCGGATTCCGGAGAAAAAACCTAAGCGAATATCATGCACCGGCGTCGCCCGGCACAGATGGACATCGCCATATCACAGCTGGATGGCAGGCTCCATCATCTTTCGCAACTTGACGTTGTTCGAGTTGTTCGACCACTCTAAACGCTTTTCTTGCAGTCATCGAATCATCTCACGCATCTGTACTATGGCGAGGTATCCACAAATTGAAATGGTTACAGTATACTGTGCATTAACATGCTCTATATATGTGGCACACGTCCTGTCATCCACAAATTGAGCGCATCACATCCTATCCGAAGCTCGGCAGAGCAGACAACTTTCACCCTGTCCATTCGTTGTCTGCTGTGGGACATCGCGCTCAGCTTCCAACGCATCCATGTCGAAGTAAAAAATGTCCAACCCCAAATGCAGAAGAATGTGAACTATGGTGAACCTGTCAGCAAACCATCTTAAGCATGATCTTTTGAAGTCGGACATGTCACAATCTTTAGGGCACGCCTGGCATTTTTTGAACATGGGGCCACATCACAAGCAACGTCAAAACCAAAGCATCTACAGTGGTAGCAGTATGTCCCGAGCCTGTGCACCTGCGATTCTGTGTTTGGTCCTGGAACTGCACCCATTTCCAGGTCACAGAATGTCTGGCTCTGAGGGGCAGACTCCAGCATGAGACTTTCAGTCCGCAAGCGGACTTCTGTTCGACTTGGCGACATGCCTGTCGGATTCCACCAAGACCGTTGAAGCATCTTGGAACCCAGTACATATCCCATGAAACTCTCGGAATCTGTGATTCCGAGGACTTACAGCAATCTCCACATGCCTGGTAAGCATCTTTTCCACTAGCTACCTCAAAGCAGCAAGACCCACAGTGAACCAACGTGATGCCAATGCTGACTTGGGCCACGTACCACCAGCAAAGGTCGTGAAAATCCAAGTTGGCACAGGTGGGACACCTTAGGGTTCACTGCCCGGAGCGATCATGCACACATCAACCATGGCCACCAATGGAACATTCGCGAACATTCTCAGAATTGCTGCCACAAGGAGGGACCCAGACTGTTCGTTCCAAAAGCCCACTCCATGCGTTTCCTCAGATGCACGGACCCGCTGGGGAACCAACTATTGCCTTTCCATGCGTTTCCCTGGATGAAACATCTCACAGTCGCTGCAACCGAGTTGCCATAGAGCAAAGTCAGGGCGATCCCACGATGCCCTTTCCATCCTTTCCCACCTCACCATACACGGTTAGCTCTCAGGGCATGCACTCAGTGGATCTTTGCTGGTGGGTGATAAAATTTGGAATGGATCATTGAAACCCACCATCACCACCACCACCACCATCATCACCAGCACCACCACCACCACCAGCACCAGCACCACCACCATCACCATCACCATCATCATCATCATCATCATCATCCTCATCCTCATCCTCATCCTCCTCGTCGTCGTGGTCCTCATCGTCTTCGTCCTCCTCCTCCTCATCATCATCATCACCACCACCGTCAACATCAAGCCCCCTACAAATGCTGTAGTGACTGTAGTACGTCCGCACTGTATCACTCTGTCTATGAGTTTCCCTATGCTTGATGCCAACTGCATGCCGCTTTGCTGCTCCCGTCAAAACTTCTCGTTAGTTTCAAAACGGCATCGATGGCCTGCACGCAGATGGAACGTTTTTCGGGGGAAGTCAATACTCAAACATCTATTGCAGTTGAAAAAACATACGTATATTAACACTATCTATCTGTTGATTGTGTGTGTGCGTGTGTGGGATATGTTTCGTTGGGTATTGTCTCTTTAAGAGCTCTTTGCGTGGTTTTATCATTTTGCAGAAGAATTAACGTTATTTGAAGAAGTGCTGGGCCTAGGGTTAGGTGTGCAATAGGGGTGGGCATTAGGGGTATCTTTTTGGGGATTTTTGAAGCAACTATCCCGATATTTATGCTTACTGCAATATTATGCGTATGTATAGGGGTGTGTGTGTATATGTCTACTGTATGTATATGTATATGTATATGTATATGTATATGTATATGCAAATGCATATGTATATGTATATGTATATGTATATATGTTGTATATGTATATATGTGTATGTGTATGTGTATTTACATGTATTCATATATATATGTGCATATAAACCGTACCGTCCTGTTCCGAAGCGCAATAACAAGCCAGGATCACTGTTTCAAAGTTTCTGCATGTGTCAGTGATTGGGAAGGAAGGCAAGGAGATTTTACTGATCAGAAGACTAGTTTTGTTGATTTTTTTTGCTGGTGACTCCATACATTGTACTCGTCTCTGCGCATCCCGCGCTCATACGCATACTGAAGCCTGTCGCAAGATTGGCCGGCGCCCTACAGCCTGTCACTGTTGGAATCACAAAGTCAGCTCAATCTGTCTGAGCGTGCATACAATGCTGACAAAATGTTGCATACGAACCATGTAAAGTATCCTGCTGTTTAGATCTGTTTAGTGCCACTTCTTTTTCATCGCAGTTCACCCGCAACACAGGAACTCCGGTCACCTTTCACCAGGCCGTGATCTATGCACCAGCACATACCACCAATATGTACATTTGGTATCTGCATCCTATGACATCCTATGGCTGTCATCTTTGGGGCATCTCCAAGCTTTCTTCAGGACCTCTGAGGAAAACCTGGATGACCTGGCTGCTGCCCATGCTGGAAGCTGGACCTGGCTGGGCCTGGCTGCCTGCACCTGTGCACTTTTTGAACAGACTGAGAATCCGACCCCGGCATCCAATAGGATGTGAAGGATGCACAAGCGCTCAAAACTATCGGAGCAAGGCAAATCTCTGACCCATTGGGGCGTGTCCTTGGTGCGATTTTCAAGAAATCAGCAACTGGCCCAAAAAATATCTATCCAATCTATCCATATTTACATAAATAATACATACATCTGTGCAACAAATAAAATGGAACGGTCTGATAAGCGTGCGTTTGTCAGAAGCTAAAACATGATGAGATGCAGATAAGCATCAGTGAGCGAACGGATCAGTTTGGAAGATGAAGGTGTGATCTGCCGCAGCGTTTACCACGATAGCAAGATGAATTATGTGCAGAACTGTTGCTCTGAAATGATAGAAAATTACGCCAGCATAGACCCCAGATAGCAAAAGATGTTTTTCCGGCACCCGCAGGCCAAACCCAAGCTACACCATGCAGTGGCACCAACACCCAGGCTCCAAAGTGCAAACAAACAATTTTTCTTATAATTGAAGTAAGAATCCCAATGGTTCTCGCAGTGCGGGGAAATATCAAAACAATCCAAAGTGGTCCAAAACCCCGGACCAGCAACATAAACTAATGGTCGGGGTACACAGCCGCAACTTTGAGACATACCTTTCTTCCCCTAATACTAGACGACGGATGGCCCGAGAGCGTAGAGGAGCAGGGTCTTCTCTTGTTAGTATGGAGACACCATATTACAAAACAATATATTAAAGATGTGTTATAGGCAGTCGAGAAGAGGAGTATCAAGACAAAATAGCAGAAGTGCAAGACAATAGTTTGCATCGCAAACACTTTTACACACAGAAGCTTTTACACATAGACGCTTTTACACACAAAAGTTTTTACACACAGAAGCTTTTACACACAGAAGTTTTTACACACAAAAAATCAAATCTGCTTGCAAGTAGATCCTTTCCGTTTGAGGAGTGGGTCTTTATGGGTCTTTGTTTTTTGGCTGTTTCCACCCAGCCGCAGCTTCTTTTTCGATCTGTGCTGGACATCCCCCTGTGCCAGCGGGAAACTTGGAAAGATTCTCAGCTGCAAAAGTGTTGAGAAACACAGCAGGACAGTGGACCATCCTTCTAGGACACTTGGAGAAATTGTGAAACCATAGGTTTGGAATTTTGAACTTTGAAGTGGAAATCTTGGAAGAATAGATCTTTGAATGGTTCAAATCAAAATCCAAAAGGTGATAAAATCACCGTCGCAGCGCAAATGCGCAGACCGGGTCAGACTCCATTTTGTTGTCGAAAATATACCTTGGAACAGTCAGTGAACCCCAAAAAAAATATGACAGATGCTTGCATTTTTTTGGTATTGAATGCATTCAAGTAGCTTCTTGCGTGCATCCCAAGCTTTGCGTTTCATCTCAGCAGGATCATCTCCCATATTCTTGGCCTTCAGCCACTCTGCGCAGTAGACCTGAGTTTGTACACATGATGTGGGTTCTGGGTTTTAATCAGAAACTCCAGGGTGCACAGTTTGTGAAGTGAGATTCTCGGTTTTTAGATTCTCGGTTTTTACAGATGAGGGAAATCACTCAAGAATAATGATTTGAGCAAAGACACGCAGTGAAGCTTCTTTCGAACCTCTGTCTTGTGGTCAGCAGGCGCTGCATTCTTCTTAGCTTTCTTTGGGTTCTTCATCGCTTTCTTGGGTTCCTTGGTCACTTTCTTCTCCTTTTTGGTGCGCGAATTCTTTGGTTTTGCAGCAACTTTCGCTTTGGCGGTTGTCTTCCTTGAAGACTTTGGTTGCACCCCCCTCGATGGATTCTTTGGTTTCCCTCCACTCTTTGTCGTCTCTGTGTTCGCCACTTTGGGAGCAGTAGGTTCGTCATCACGCGTAGTCAATGGGACTTTGTTGAAACTTCGTTCTCTCTTTCGGGTCTTTGGCATCTTGGGCATTGGAATTGGCGTTGGCACTACGTCACCTGCAAACTCAACACTATCATCATCATCATCATTGAGATGCATGACAGCGGCTGGGACGGGGACCTTCTCAATCATGGGCTGTCCTTCAACTGTCTCAGTCATGGGCGGTTCTTCAACCTCCTCAGTCATGGGCGCTTCTTCAACGTCCTCAGTCATGGGCTCTTCTTCAACCTCCTCAGTCATGGGCGCTTCTTCAACCTCCTCAGTCATGGGCGGTTCAACCTCCTCAGTCGCTTCTTCAACCTCCTCAGTCATGGGCGGTGCTTCAATCATTGCGGGCTCTTCCATCACCTTCTCATTCTCCATCACTTCGACCCGGGAGTTGTCAGGCATACGTGTAGGAGAGCATTGTGGCACAAGGTAAATCTGGCCATCTGAGATTTCATAGCTCACCGATTGTGGCAGGGTGTTGCCATCACTGGTGTCCTGCCAAACAGGTCAATGTGTTGAATGTTTTTGTACTTGGAAACAGGTCAATGTTGAATGTTTTTGTACTTGGCCAGCTAGGATTTGCCAGGCCTTGAAGTCAGTACCGAACAGTTCCCTTACCTTGGCTTGAAGAGCGCGATAAAGCATTTGAAGCTACAAGATCTTCAAATCTAAAACCTATATTCTAAATCATACGAAACTTCTAGATCATTATAATATATTATAATAACTATATAATAATATATTATTAATATAGTATAGTGTTATTGATTCATATATTGATCATAGGATTGTTGTTTGAAAGACCTGTTCTATGGGAGTGTCTAAGCACACTAACCACTGACTCTGCTATCTCTGCAGCTCAGGAACATGGCGAGGATCAGTTGCACCTTCAGCTTCAAGGCTGTCCAGTTCTGTCTTGGCCACCTAAGTTCAGCAGAGTGCTACACTTTTGAGTGGGGAAGACGAAATGTGGAGGAAATAAAATCAATGAATCTGCCGTCAAGATACAAACGGGGAAGAGTAGAAGTCGTCTTTCTTACGGTACTCTGTAAGCCCAAGCTGGTTGTCTGGCCAGTGATCATCCAAATGGTCTGTCATTCGTCGAAGCTTTGAAGGAGGTGTGCACATCAAATCATCATTGTAGACGTCCCCAACCATGTCATCAGCAGCAGCGGCATGTTTCCTGAGTAGCAGCAGCACTGATAGGACATGTTCCCATCAATAGGTTCTGACATGTTCTGATCAATAGGTTCTGTTCCCATCATAGTAACCACAGTCATTCTTTCAATAACCAAGAAGCTGATCATAACATTCAGTCTCCTCAGATGGAGTTCGGGCATCTTCAATGCGATACTGAAACGGCAAGCGCTCCTCATCCTAGCAGTGAAGAGCAATGATGGGCAGGAAGGAACAGCAATAAATCAAAAAAATACAATTGAACAGCACACAGTCCTCATTCTCATCACAGCGCTTTTTCCCCCTTCTGGGAGCTGCTGGTTTCTTCAAAGGGCCCTTTCGAGCTGGTTTCTTCTTGGTTTCCCTCTTTTCCTCATCATCACCATGGCTGCAATCATCACCTGACAAAACATCATCATCATCGTCGTCATCCTTCGGTCTACTTGGCAGTGGATTGTGGCTTGCATCCACTTGATCTTCTTCATCATCATCATCAGTTTTGGTCTTTTTCCTCCGCCTTGCAGATTCTCCTTTCGGCTTCTTCTTGTCTGTCCTCTTGTCTGTCTTCTTATTGGCTCCCTTGTCTCCCTTGTCTCCCTTGTCTCCCTTGGCACCCTTGGCTCCTTTGTCTCCCTTGTCTCCCTTGTCTCCCTTGTCTCCAGATGAATCATCTGAAGAAAACCTCGGAGGGAGAACTGGTTCAGCCATCACAGGACGGCTTGCAGCACCTTAGAGTAAAGCAGGCAAAGGAAAGACATCCACAATCTTCAAAAAACCCAAGTTCAGGGTTCAGGGATGGTTCATCTGTTGTCTCAATTGGTCCCAAGGGGCTTGACGAAGAGTGTGGCGCAGGTCTTCTAGCTGCAGCTGCTGACGATGGCGGTGTGGGTCTCATCTTTGGGCGTGGAGTAGCAGGAGTCGAGGGAGCGAACTGTTCCCCCATGATGGCAGCCATGTTAAAGGCCTAAGTGTCGATGCATGACGATATCCAACAAAGAGCAGTATGATGCTCTCTTAAAGTTTGGGCGGTTTTCACCTAATTCTTGGCTAGTAGCTGGGACGCGCATCGAAGCTGACAGAGGCACTTCTTGTACATCAGAATCGGAATCACTCGCCATGATCACACGGATCACCCGGCCCTGCCACTCCCTTGAATCGAAACCTTCAATGGTGGCAAGTATATGTTCAAGATAAATCCAGACATGAGAGTAGCTGATCAAATGTTTTGAGAGATCAAATAAATCCAAATAACCTACTACGCTGTTTCATGTTGTGCCAAAAGGGATTGATTTTCTTTTCACACGCTAGCCCCAAGTCAGAGTTTATCGGAATATCGTCTAGGTTTTGCCCAGACTAACACAATCCACGATCAAAAGTCCAGAGATTGGGCGGCCTTAAAAGGAAGCCCCTGCAAGAACCAAAGATTCTTTATCAGAACCCCAAATCTTGAAGGTTAGTTTCTGTTTGATAAGCAAATATCGACTTACCAAATAAGCGGGACTACTGCAAGATGGACATCATGAATTCTGATTCCATTGTGGGACAGTCACAGTGATTGGCTGCTTGCAGCAATGTAAATCTCTGTTACCCAGCACTTCAATTTTTTTGGTGAGTGCACTCCCTCTAAGGATTTGCGACCACCTAGCCGCCCACAAAAAAGATATGAGATGGAGATGAATAGTTTTTTTTTGGTACTATGTTGATTTCAATATGTTCTTTCCAAGGAGGCCTTACAGGTGGTCGTGAAGTCACTAGATTGTGGCCACTACATGAGGCGGAGAGCGGCTTCATCAATCTCCAGGCTTCCCGCAAGGCACATGGTGGGCCGGATGGGCATCAAAGTCTTGGTGCCATCACCAGCTGCATCAAAGCGACATCGCCAACACAGCTCAAAGTTCGAAGTAGCGCTCTTGAGTTTCGAAATGTCAACACGGGCACCGAAGTTTTTGATGGAGAGCGATGTTTTGCTACCATCACCATTTTGTTTTTTGCCTTCTTGCTCTTCACTTTCTCATCCTCTTTGGGAGCATCCATGACAAAGACAATGTCCTTGATCCGGGTCACATTGGTCCCCTCCACTTGGTGGTGGGAGATCTGGTATTTCACCTCGGATCAATGTTGTCAAACAATTACATCACATTGACTCTTAGATGACGACACTCAATCAGTTTTGTGCGATAGATGACACAAACCGAACAATCGGACCAGTGACTTCTCCTAAGTCTTCCATCTGTTTCAGCAGATCATC